ACTGGACAGGGATAAACAAACCCCATAAGCCTCGGGACATAATACAGAGGTTGCGCAAAAATGACAACACCGACGTACCCTAGTATGAGACTAACTCAAAAAAGATGGCCGCCATGGCGTGCAAATACCACGACAACATCCAGTCGGACCGAACCAGGACTCCGCCCCGGATCAGAAATGAGAAAATTGAGACGGTACTGGGATGAATGGTCGGGAAAACAACCACAGCTCATGACGACTCTTGAGAAAGTGTCTCACACTAGAAGACGTACGAATTGCATTACGGAAATCTGCAAACTACAAGGCGCCAGGCCTGGATGGCATAACATATGAAATCTGGAAAATCTTGGATCAGAGGTACGAGAGCTACAAATCGACAGGTAGACCTGCCTTCAATATCCTCGGGGCGATGCTCAGGGTATACAACAACATTGAAAAATACGGAATGGTGAAAGGAACTGGTTTCTCCAAGAGCTGGATGTGCCTGCTGTACAAGAAAAACGACAAGGCAGACATTGCAAATTATAGACCAATTTCGCTTTTGAATACAGACTACAAGGTATTTACAAAGGCTCACAATCAAGCTGGTTCAAGTAGCCCTGCACCTCATACACCCGAATCAGGCGGGCTTTGTTCCAGGACGCCAAATTTGGGACCAAATCTGATTAATGAAGAGGGTAATCGAGCTGGCAGAGGCGACAGAACAGGACGGAGTCATCGTCGTGCTCGACCGGGCCCGCTCCACTCGTCCTCACACGAGCCTGTGGCTCTTGGAGCTCTGCTCCATTTGGTCTCGTTCCTCCCAAACCCTTGGTGGCCTTTGCATATGGGTTCGGCTGTGCCCACATCCCGCTTCCCTCCGACCTGGACTTCCCCACTGCCTTTCTCCCTGCATCATGAAGTCCCAGTCGGCCATCCCACACACACCACCACATCTTCTCTCTCTCTCGATTCCATGTGTAGCGCAGCCCCGGTGCAAAGCACCAGTTCCTCTGCATCCCTTACTCACCAGGCTGAGCTGCAGCAATCACCTACCTTGCCATGTAAAATGGAGATTGTGCAGGGACAGAGAGTCAAATATATAACAAATGTGAAGACTCCAGAGGAGGCCAAGAAGTACAGACCAGTAAATCTGTCTGCTGTTGGCTCTCTGATGTATTTGGCCACCCAAACTCGTACTAATATCTGCTATGCTGTTGGATTCCTTGCATGCTTCAATAGCAACTAGTGTGTGACATGGGTATGGGTATACCTGCGGTATTACGGGTACGGGTGCTGCGGGTGCGGGTAGGTACCTGTATTTTTCAAAACTGCGAATACCGCAACCCGTACCCGTAATGTGCAAAAAAACCGCAGGTGTTGGGATTTGAATCAGAGACCTCAGAAAAACTCAAAAATCTTTAGCAAAGGGAAGATCCAAGTAGACTAAAATGCCATGTGATATTGGGGGACAGTTCTAGTGTAGCTACATTATCATATTCTATTTTTTTGGCTGACCATGTGACTAGGAACCAGTTTCCTTTCATATGATAAAAACATTTGAGTGCAATATAACACTCAGAAATTACTTACACACTAATTTACTCACCTCCTTGTGCTTTATAACATACTACACTACAGTATAAGTCCCACTTTTGCATGAAACAAAATACTGTTGGAAATAACCACAGTATATACTGTGGTATAGACACCCGCGGGTATAGCACAATTACTGCAACCACGGCCGGATCGGACCATTACCTAGAACTCAGACAACAAACCACAACAGAAAGATCACCGCTGTTCACTCAATTCCGGACCGTTTTGGCTGACGTAAAAGTTGAGACTATAGGAAAAGAAGCAGTGAGAACTTTCGGAGGGTTTGGACGATATGCTGGAGGCCAGTGCTATTCCCTGTCACTTACAGGGAAATACCCTCTGTCAATTTTTTCAATTGCGGGCGGAAGCATCGGAAAGTACGACGCGACGCGTTTGTTTGGTTGTGCTTGAAATGGAAAAATGATGCCGTCTTCCCGGTCCGGACCGGCGACCGTACCGACGTTCCTACTACCGTTGACCCGGGTGCAACTCCGGTGTGCACGTACTGTACTAATCCGACCAGGTGTTCACGTAACGCGTAACACTCGCCTGTGAACTGAACACTTTTGGGACCTGTAACGGTAACTTTCCGATTTCTTGGCCCCAAACAGGTGGAAAAACGACAAAAAATTAGGTTCGGCAGTCGCCGAATTTCCATATATGGCAATTTCCTAGTACAGTGGTCAATTCTGTCCAATGGCCAACTGAACCTTGCGCCGGAGATAATGGATGCGAGTAGTCTCCAAAGCTCAAACAAAAAAGAGGATGCTCAATCCAAGATCCCCCAGCTTCGTATTGAACAAGGCTATCCATTTCCGGGGCCTGCACCTCAAAAAGTGACCCCGCGAATTTTCCCGGAATTTTTCTTTGCCGAGGAGCGCTCCTCAATAGGTTGCTTGAGCCATAGCCCTAATATATAGACTAAATCCCATGGCCCTAGCCATAGGAAGTGTTGTCTAAATCCACGATGCTAGCCAAGCAGTTGGCTAGTATGATGTACGTAGAGAAGCGGCTGCGGGTGGTCCTTTTGGGGGCATTCGGGGGGGTACGAGATGTATTTGGCATCTGATGGATGCAATAAAATCTATTTGGTCTGATGGATGCAATAAATCCTTCGACCAAATGATCTGTTGAAATTGTTGATGTTGATGGGGCCGTTTTTGGATCCTCCGCCATATTCTCACGCTTCTCGCCTCCAAATGCGGGCACGATTGCATCCGTCATCACTTCATCCGCTTGCATTATTCCATGCGTCCTTGCATCATTCCGTGCGCTTCCACCCGACCACCCGAGCATCCCCGCCCTTTCTCGCGTGCATTATTGCACCCGCCCTCCCATCATTCCCTCCGCCTGCGCCCGACCACCCGAGCATCCCCGCCCTTTCTCGCGTGCATTATTGCACCCGCCGACCCATCATTCCCTCCGCCTGCGCCACCCGACCATCCCCGCATTCGCTCGCGTGCATTATTGCACCCGCCCTCCCATCATTCCCTCCGCCTGCACCCGACCACCCGACCATCCCCGCATTCGCTCGTGCATTATTGCACCCGCCCTCCCATCATTCCCTCCGCCTGCGCCCGACCACCCGACGATCCCCGCATTCGCTCGCGTGCATTATTGCACCCGCCGACCCATCATTCCCTCCGCCTGCGCCACCCGACCATCCCCGCATTCGCTCGCGTGCATTATTGCACCCGCCCTCCCATCATTCCCTCCGCCTGCACCCGACCACCCGACCATCCCCGCATTCGCTCGTGCATTATTGCACCCGCCCTCCATCATTCCCTCCGCCTGCACCCGACCACCCGACCATCCCCGCATTCGCTCGTGCATTATTGCACCCGCCCTCCCATCATTCCCTCCGCCTGCACCCGACCACCCGACGATCCCCGCATTCGCTCGCGTGCATTATTGCACCCGCCGATCCATCACCGACGCGTTGCTGATATGTGTTTGCTTTTGATGCCATTGCATATTTCCCCTTTTTCCCGCTGTTGAGTTTAACATTGATTTTTTCAATCAAGATTTACATTCTGGCTTGTTTCGCCCGAATGACGCATTGTTTGCCGGTGTTTATTTTTAACATGCTATCGATGGCCCTCGTTTGCGAAAAGTTTTTGATGGGAGTGCTGTTTGAGTGTTGGGTCTCGAATCACTCTAAAATTTGAACTATAGCAAGCCATAGGTATGATTAACTCGTCTGAATATTACCAGATTTTTTTGTAGTATATAGAGGGAGCTTTGAAGATGCCGGTGAGAGGTCTGTTTCGATGACGTTTTTGTATACCTGTGCAAAAAAAATTGGCGGAGCGATCACTCCCGGCAGCGGGATCAAAAACGACCCAAATCTCACCTTTGATTTTCTTCTGGACTCAAATGCCACCCGCGGGCTCTATAAACTCGGTAGCACATTTTAGAATACTGAAGTTATAACTGGCTTTTATATCAAGGTACCCGAGTCCAAATTGAGGCCACCAGATCAAATTTTTACAAAGCTATACATTTTTGCAGAGAGGGGCCATCGATAGTACTACTGTGACAATTTATCCTGAGCTCCTTGGGTACGGAGATCTGGTTGTTGCAGCTCTCGTAGAGACTCACGAGGTCGAACCAGACTTCCAAGATGTACGGGTTGATGCGGATCGCGCAAGAGTATGCGTCAAGCGCGTCGCGGTATTGGTTGATCTGAAAGTATAAGACGCCAATGGAGCACCAGAACGTTGGGTTCCAGCTATTGCGATAAACCGCCTGCTGATATGCTTCATACGCTTGTTGTACTTCTGGCCGGCCATGTAAGCGCGTCCAAGAAGGTACCAACTCTGAGAATCGGAAGGATGTAAAGAAGAAGAAAGCTATTATTATACATAGATGCGCGAGAAAAAGAACAGTCGGGCGTACCAGCTTCCAAGCTCTTGGTGATGTACTGGATGGCGAGGTCTTGCTTCTGGAAGGAGAAGCCGTCCTGATGGTACAGCCACCCAAGCTGCGGAAGGACTTTGGCGTGGGTTGTCGGTACCGACATGTTCGTACGCTTCCTTGGCACTGACAGGATCACATCAGAACAAAGATAGCCAGAACACAAAGAACGGTGACATACATCTTTCTGTTGTTCGTAAACGTGGCCGATTTGGAACCAAATGTCGCCATGTGCGTGTGGGCTCGGGGGATTGCGGAGAATGCGGTCGAAGCATTGGAGCGAGTCTTCGTATTTGCCTTGTTGCTTTGAAGGTCAAAAACACGTTGAAAGAATTTGACAGCCTAATCCGGAAGAAGAAAAGTTGGTGCCATTCTTAGCTTTCCTTTGGTATTTTTGGGTTTTCACACCACTAAGAATAAAACGATGTAAGTTACCAACACAAACGAGCAAGAAAACGCAAAAAAAAAAAAAACATTTGGTCAAAAAACCCGTAAAAATGCCAGAATGTCATCACTCGGATTCGAACCGAGACCTCCCCGCTAGTGCTCATGATTCCCCTACATAGCTGAGACGCCGTAACCGTTCGGCCATAATGACATTTTCCGACTCGCTGTCTGTTCTGAAGAGATCTATATCTCACATGTAGATAGCTTTAAATATAAAATATACCTTCAATCAGCCGTACCCAAGACAACTAGTGAGATGCAAAGTAGTTACATTACACGCCAGAAAGAAGAGAAAAAAAGAGTATTAAAATCGACGTTTGAATAGTTCATAATAGGCTGCCATCCCTTCCATCATCCAAGTCACGTCGAGGACAGCCGCCTCCCAAACTTCCAACTCCGATTGTTCGCCGCCGGAAACCGCACGACCCCAGAAGTAAAGTGAAGCAAGAAGACTTAGCGTACCGTTGACTCCCCACTGATAAAGCGGACCCCATTCCCTTCCTGCTTCGATGCTCCACCTCCCGTCCGTTTCCGAGCTGGAGGGAATCCCACCACCGCTGGGACACTGTTTGCCTCTCACCATGATGTCGAATCTGGCCATCTGCTTGCTAGCCCTTGCTCCTGCCCCGGAAACTGCCACATTGCCCCTGAATGCTGATGCTCAAGACATCTTGGTGTGGAGTACCTGCAGTCGAGCCCAAAACTGGGGAAACGTACCGTCTCATGCACATTTGTGTGCGCGTCCCGCTCCGACGCCAGAAACCCACGCATCGCCCTCGGATGTGAGCGGACAGAAAGTCTTGGGGAGTACCGCCGCTCGAGCTCAAGACTGGGACAATTGTCTCGTGGATTCGTCGCCTGCGGACACGTCGCCTGTGGACACATACCGGCCGCCTCTTCCTCCCGCATCCCCTTTCAAGATGGAATTGTCAAGTGCCTCTTGGCTTGATGAGACCAGGGGCCCGTGTGAGAAGGGTGTGTGCCCTGCTTGCCGCCTGTCGGGCACAGCGAGGACCACCGGGGGCAGCCCGTGCGTTGGCACCGCTGGCATCGATCCCGAAACTTTTGCACCCACGCACGGACCTTTGACAGATTTCGGATCTGCCGCGTCACCATCCGTGTCTCCCCGCATCGCTACTTTCGGATTGCTCGTGATTGGCGAGGCAATGCCCGCGGCTCCCCAGTTCATGATACTCCTCGTTCTTGTCTCGTTTCTGTCGTTGCTGCTCGCCGGGGGCCTGCTCACCACCAAGACCACTGAATCGCGATCTCTCTGCCTGTTAGCTAACACCCCGTTTGTTGCGTATATCCGGTCGACCTGTTCAGCGCTCGGCTCACTTCCGGCCGCTTTTGGGCGACAAACCTGTATTGCAAAGTTCCCGCCGGCATGCTGTCCTGCACCAGCTACTGTTTTTATACCTTGCATCAATAATTTTTCTGGATCTCCTGGACTTCTTGCTGTGATCGCTAGCGACTATGCGCGTAGTGTTTCTGCTACGCAAAATGGTGCCGGAGGATTCCTGTCCTCAACTGGGAGCTCCTCGCAAAAGACAGGGACTTGGTCTGGACGCCTCAGAGGCCATAGTAGTGGCAATGAACCACCGTCTCGCTCAGACAATAGCAATAAAGATCACGAACGAGCTGCGGGCACCCGTCTGCGCCCAGCTAAAGATGTAGTAAATGTTATGTACTGGAACATCTTTCATGACTTCACGTTGAAGCTCACCAGTCCCGAGTTTCACGAGCTGCTGCGCGAGTACCAGATCATGTTTTTTGCGGAAACTGATATACTTCCGGGTGAGGATGAAGCCGCTGATGTCCCTGCGGGGTATACCTTGGTTTCGCTTCCTAGGAAGCCACGAATGACGGGTAGTCGGCGCGGTGGAGGCATCGCGCTGATAATTCAGAACACCTTCACTTTCAAAAAGTCAGAACTAAGTTCACCGGACATCCTTGTGCTTGATATGGGCACCATATGGCTCATTGGGGCATACATACCTCCAGAGTCTTCTCGATGGGAAGGCTGGACAGATGTTGAACCATTCCTGAAACTCTGGGAAACAATTGCACTTTGCACTCAAAGCGATGATAAACATGTTGCTCTCCTAGCTGATATCAATGCCCGGACAGGCTCTTTGCAATCAGGATTGGAGTGGGCCAAGCACTGGGAGCGATTATCAGCGGATTTGGATGCCAAAATTAATTCACGTGGTCGGGCAGTCATACGTGAATGCACTGAACATGGATTGTGCGTCCTGAATGGCACTTCCTTGGAGACTTCATCGCCTGGCCGCAGGACCTCCTGGCAAAGTGCCGGTGAGTCCGTCATTGACTATGCCATGGTATCGGAGAGTCTGTTACCCTTGGTTCGTAAATTCGAGGTTGCTTCTCCTGCTCCTCTTGAAGACGATGATTGGGCGGATCATATGCGCATCTGTCTGACTCTGGATGCTACTGTCTTCACACAGACACCGGTTGTGTCACGGCAGAGACCGGAAACACCAAATTTCGGGGGTTCTGCCGATGTTGATAAACTGTACCAGGCAATGATGGACTCGAAACAAACCAAAGACGAGGCCCTAAGATCACTTTGGGGTCCTGTGCTCGCAGATTCCATACCGATACAATTTTATGTCGAAGGTGCATCTGCCAAGGGGAACAAAACCAGGGCCGGCGCTGGTATCTTCTTGGGTTCTGACTCCCGGTTCAATATCGCACTACAGGTTCCCGGCCCGGGACAATTATCCGCAGACCGTGGGCGTTTGTTTGCCGTCCACGAAGCGATCCGGATGGCTCCTCCTAACAAGAGTGTCCTTGTGTTTTGCACCTCAAAGATGATTATACGGCAGCTATGCTACTCCGCTGCCAAGAATTCGCAATTGGGTTGGCCGGGTCAGAATGGTGACATCTTCAAATCCATTGTCCAACTTCTCGCTGCGCGGAAAACAGAGACCGGGTTTATGTTCATTGAATCCAAAGCCAACAACGAATCGAAGCGAGGTGCATATGCCCTGGCCAAGTCGGCCTTGAATTTGACAGGGCGGTGTGATACTTTCGTCAACGTGAATATCTCGCCGCCCCCCTTGCCTTCTGAGGATGCCCCGCCTCGTAAACGGCAAAAGGTTTACACGGCGCTCGAGGAGACCTCTCCGGTGAAGCTCAAGACATGGAAAACGGGGGATGATGTGCCTGACAAGGACACTGATCGAAGTCACCGCGGGCGAGCGAAGGTGCATGCGCTTCAGTTTGGTCTTCGACAGGAATTGTTGGCGTGTAAAGAACCGAAAGAATTCTGGGACTTCGTTCGCAAGCGCACCGATCCACGCCCCAAACCAGCCAAGGTCACGGTGGAGGCTATTTCCGCAGACTTCGAGGCCCGTTTGAATTACCCTCAAGTTATGCCTGCGTCCTTTAACGCGGAACAGCTGGCTTTCAATGCCAGAATGAACAAGGCACTGCGAGATCCCCCACCTGATATGTCTCCACGCCGGTCATGTACTCGAGATATAACAATGGAGGAAATTGAAGCCATGAAGCGCCATATTAAAGCCCACGGTCTTGATACTTCGATGGGAGTGGACGGCTTCTCGTATAAAGATTGCCTTGAGATACCGAACGAGAAATTGCTCCTATTCTTCTTATACTGCCTGAAACATCAGGATATGCCCCGGTTTTGGCTGACATGCCTGTTAATTGGTATCCTCAAGAAGGACAAGGGCGCTAGCGAACCATCGAGTTACCGACTCATTGCTTTAGAGTGCTGCATGCTCAAAATGCTCACCCTAATCATTGATAGGAGAATAAGGGAGGCCGCAGAGGATCTCGGTGCAATTCCGACGACCCAAAACGGCTTTCAAGACAACCTACGCACAAATTATAATGTTTTTGTTCTCCTTTGCCTCATTGATAAGGCGGATCACTCGGAAAGCCGCTTTACGCTGCATATCTTGACCTCAAAAATGCCTTCCCAGGGACCGACAGATCTACCCTATGGGTCAAACTCGCTACCATGGGGATCTCTGGACCCATGATTGAATGGCTGAAGAAACTATATGACCGTATCCGATACCTCGTCCGGCTTGATGGTCGTTTTGCCCCTGCATTCAGGTCTCTGCTCGGGATTCTCACTGGCGATCCAGGTTCACCTCAGTTGTGGAATCTGTTCATGTCCGATTTTATTTTGGCATGGCACCCAGCGGATATTGAACTAAATGGTGTCCCAATTACAAACGTTGAGCATGCGGATGATATCCTGACGGCCTCAGGCGCGCCTTCCGGACTCCAGACCCATCTGAATGGCTCACAACTCTGGGCAAACAATAATGGATGTGAAACTTCGATCCCCAAATGTTTGTATCAGGTGTTTGGGCGGAAACAGCAAAGTTGTCCTACTTTTCACCTCGGAGGCAATCGAATTTCTCAGGTTCAAAAGGCATGTTATCTCGGAGTGTGGTTCGAAACCGGGAAAAAGTTCATATGGACGGAGCAGTACAAGATTAAAGCGCAGAAAGCAACTACAGTTGCGAATGTATTGTTGGGGCTAGACCGTTTCGTTGGAAAATTGCCTGTCTGGGAGGCGAGAACACTATACATGGCAAGAGTCGATCCATACCTCACCGCGGGCTGCGATGTATGCCTGGATATGGATGCGAAGAACCTGGCTTCATTGGAACGTGTTCAAGTTAGATTCCTACGGCGCATGCTGGGGGTGGGCCGCCGCAGCCTCAAAGTTGTCCTTTTCTCGGAAACGGGTATCTGGCCCATCCGCTATCGCAGAGTCTACTTGGCACTGAAGTATTTGTGCTATCTACTCACGCTTGACAACGAAAGGCCAGCTTCAAATGCGCTTCAGGAAACACTTCTGCTTGCTCGTGATCAAAAACTGTGCTGGATGAACGATCTGAGAATCCTTCTCTCGCGGCTGTATATTCCCGTCAACTTGGATATTTCGGGGGAAATCAATGTCCAAACGGTCGAAACAGCAATGAAATTTGTTGTAAAATCCATGGAGGCCTGGATTGACTATGAAATCAATTCATCCTCCAGAGTGAGAGACATCCTCGCAGACAGACTCGAAAAAGACTCTGAAACGGGGAAGTTGGTTAAAAAATCGTTGGCCTTCCGCCACTACCTTCGGATTGCCTCCCCAGA